AATTGCCGCTGAAGTGTTGAGTAGCGATTAAAATCAAAGACAAATTTTTCGTAGTAATCGAAATTTACATAAATTTGCATGATCACCACGATTGACGACCGCTGAGAGCGATTGGTCAGATGCAAAAGCAATATGAAAAAAATATTGAAAACAAAATATGCTTAAACATAAAAATCATAAGAAAATATTTTTGATTAATGTGCATATGTCATTGGGCGCGAAATTGAGCGTAAGATAAATGCTTATGTTAATTGGAAGTAACGAAAAATTTGACAAAATAAAAAATACGAAATAGAAATAGGCAACTAACAGTAATATTCATAATTAAAAATAAACATAAAAACTTATTAAGAAAAATTTCAACTTTGTCTTTGACTGCAATTTGCTTACAGGCATTTTATTTTGAGATAAAGAATTTGTAAAATCTGATGTTACTTTTACGCTTTCCTACAAAGTAGGCCTGAGAATTGGATTACATTGTTTTCTTTACCTTGAAAATTGTTTATTTTAGCACCTCATAAATATAGTTAATGCTGAAATGAAAATGAAAGACTTAAGCGAGCAACTTACCGGCACGGAAAACTGCAACCTTGTAATCCTAAAAGTTCTGTTAACTTATATACTGATCTTTTTAATTAGGCCACAGAAAGAATACGGAAATGCAATGGTCTGAACTAAAACGGGGTATGAGTGACTCTTTGAAACCGGTTTAAATTCTATCAAAAAATTACTTAAAAAGCCAATGGCTGTGCACTAAAGAGCTCCGCTTTGGAAAAGGGTTTACTGGGAGGACGCAATAGGAATAAGTTCCAGAGTTGTAATTACCTTCTCAAAAGAGATACATAAAAATGTTTAAGACACTCGTTTTCCTACTCGAAGGTTTGCCGTTGCCTGCTGAGAGCTACCACAATTAAAAACAAATATCTTTGAATGTTTCTCAGCCCAGGTATTGAACTTGGATGCTAGTGGATGGTGGTATGCAGCGCTCGCCACTCCGCTTCATAAAATTTAATAAAAACTAGCTTTAAGACATCGAAAATATTAATGAATAATAACATTACAAATAAAATGAATAAAAATTAAATAAAATTTAAATACCAGCTTGGCTTAGTGGGGGCTTAGCACGCTGAGCATAGCACACCCAACAGCAAATTGAAGTTACATATGTACATATAACAACAAGAAATTGCTAAATAAAATTTAACGTAAAACAAAGCCATAGACCCAGCCCACTTTTGCGCTGAACTAAGCAACACTAAACTAAGACAAGCTGCGCATGCGCAAACTAGAGTACGCGGCGCGCACGATTTACTTAAATGTAACTGAGCTGATGCTCAACATTCATCAAAATAAAAACAAAAAGAAACACAACATAAGGCAAAATGACAATAAAAGTAAATGAAAATCCAATAAAAGTAAAAAAAAAAATACAGCAACAAAATAAAATTTAAAAAAAATGAGCGCATTACACCACCTAAGCGCAACAATAACTGCACGCAGACCATGCAAACGCAACCAATTCGCGCTGGTACGAGTATCAAGCAGCAAATAAAAGGAATAACAGCTGCATTGACTACTTATGACGACAATGGCGTTGGAGTCGAAATCGTAGTCGCAGTCGCAGCCAACATCAACACCGGTATTGGTATCGACAACGACGGCGCAGCGAAGACCAAAAAACCCTGCAGCGACAAGGCAAACCACATTTTGCCAGGCGGCGAAACCAAGCCAAGCCAAGTCGAGCCAAGTCAGGCCAACTAAAGTCAAGTCACCGCAAATTCAGCTGCAACTGTAGCGCTTTTAGACGCATTGGCTTGACTTTTACATACGAACATATATACATACATACATATGTATGCACACTAGGGTGCCTCACAAAAAAAAAGTTGCAGTCTTTCCACCGAAATTATAAGATTTACTATATTTTAAGACTTTTGCCATGATATTTCGGGAAATAATAAAATTTACGTGAGCTAGACCAATTTGTAAAATATTTAATAATTTTTTTTTATTCATAAAAAACCGATTTTTTATGGTATTTCAAGAGTCCAGTGCAGGTAAATTTAAATATTTTTTTAGAAATATTTTTCTGCTAAAGTCGTTATTCATTAAAAATAAAGTAGCTTTAAAACAGGTTTATAAACTGAAATATTTATGAAAACGTGATTTTATAAAGCTTTTTAAGCCTACTTTATTTTTTTATGAATAAGGCCATTAAAATATAACAAATTTTATAATTCCAATAGAAAAACAGCATCAATTTTTATTTTTTTTGTATTGGAAAGTGATGAACCCTATTGTACAGTTTTTTATACAGATAAACGTCTGTGGATTTGTATACACTTACACGAACGTATGCAGTTAAGGCGCGTCTCTTTCTTTGCCTTTTGCCGCTTACAGCTCTAAAAAAGTTTCGAATTGCATTTTGTTGTTGTATGAACGGTTCGTATGCAATATTAAACCGTTTTAATGCTGCTTTGCCCCATCTTTTTTGTCATCTCTGGTGCAGCACAGCATCTTCAGCAATTATTCGTCTGTGTTTTTCGCAGATTTTTTTTTTGCATTTTAGTTGTCCATATTAAAAATGTAAACATATTTTTCTTTATGCTTTTTGGCTATTTTAAGAATTATCGAACGGTTTTTTCCAGTAGCGTATTTAGATTCATACATGCATATGTATGTACTTATGTATGTATGTAAGTTAGTAACCTGAATTGACGCACAAGAGCATATATTTATTTGCAGTGGCAGTTAAAGTTAATCATGCGCAGTGGTGCACCGAAAAAAGGGGGGCGCGTGGTGTCTATACCAGAGGAAGTTCAAGCCAATCATTATGTCTTCGTTAATGCCCGGACCCCTACAGAGGTTGATTAATTTGTACATTAAGAACAACTAATTGCCTAGCAAGAGCTCAGCATGCGTACATCATGAGATCTGTACAATGAGAAAAAATCAACTAAAAATTGTTTAATATTACCAAATTGAAATTTGAAAAGGAATCAGAGCGTTTTTTGTTTAATATTAGCAATGCCATTGTTAATATTTTTAACAATCATTTGGTATAGTTATTCGCAACATCTTGAGTATTTTGAACACATTTTTGTTGGCGATTTTTTTCGTTCGAATACGCTTATGTTCTGCACTTCACAGATGATTTTTCATAGTTAAGAGACACAAAACTTAAATTTGTATTATAATTTGAGCGTGTTGCCTCTGACGGCATTTAAACCCGGATCTTCTGAAAGTTAGCAAATAACAGCAAGCATCTTTTGATACCCACGTACAGTCGTTCTGTTGGTTTTGAAATGTTCACATTGAATCAATTTTCTTCATCGTATTACTGAGTGTTTGTTACCGCTCTAGATATCCTTTATGATATGATTCAGGTTTACTTGAACTTAGTGAATAGTAAACTCACTATAAATGCAATTAAGACGGATTTCGTTCGCAGTCGCTTGTCGCTTTCCGATTGAATCAAACATTCGTACTTGTTTCTATATAGAAAACTGTCGTGGGAGCCTAATATTGAGGAAAGGGTAAAGGCAGTGAGGTAATTGGTAAGAGATGAAAATTTGCCGATCAAATTTAACCGATGGTTTATGATTCTTATTTTTTGGATCAAGAATAATCGTTATTTTGGATTTTTATTTCTTTGATAAACTTTTTTTTTTTTTTTTGATTTTTCGCTCATATTGGTTATAGCTTTTAATTTTTTAAATCATTATACGGTTAAAAAGCGGTCAGAAAAACGCAAAAAATTCTAATCAACGGATAAAAAATAAATAAGTAAGTTAATAGTAAAAAATAAAGATTTTGCAATGATCTTAAAATAAAACTCTTGATATTTAACGATTATTATTGATCCCTGCAATAAATTTTGTAAAATATTTTAAAAATTCGTACAAAATAATTTCTTAATTATCCACAATTTCCATTTTTTCTATTTCTTAGAATATTTATACCATTTTTGCAAGGATAGGACTTTACAAATAAAATAATAAAGTGTACTATTCACAGCCAATTTTACGAAAGTAATTTAAGTGAAAAACGATTTAATTTTTTTAAATTTTATATGGAAATTGACAGAAATTAAATATTATTTCCCATTTAAATAGCTGGTGAAACCGGCTGCAAGTATGAATTTGTTGAATTCAGTGGAAAAAAAAATTACTACAAGAATGCTAAAGAAATAGCACAAAACCTTGATAGGCAGAAACGTTCACCTAACTCTAATTGTAATAAAATGTTCTGCTAATAGAATCCGTCAGGCAAATTAACATTGAAAAGCTCAGCCCTTAATACAAAAGCAGCAAGTAAGCCAGCCATTTGTTATCGCTTTTCTATGCTTTGAGTCTTTTATATATATATTTTTTTTGAGCCGAGTATTTTCTTATAAGCAGCTAATAGCTTAAATTTACCGCAATTTGTTTACAAATGTAAAGTAATTAAGCATAACTTAAGATAGACGTTAATGCGTTGAACTGCGGGGGACTATTAGAATACGATTAAGGCTATTTATTTACCCTGACCTGATTCACACGCACTGACAATTTTAAGTACGAGTACTTATGTTTGTATCAGCAGATAGTAATAGTATATCAAATTACCTGAAATAACTATTTGAATTATGTGGTTGTGACAGTGAACTAGAATAGCTAAATAATAGAGAAGTAAGCACTGCATGGGGAGGTAATTGAAAATGCCTTCAGAGAGATAAAATGCGAGTGTGAAGGGCTACCTTTGTGAGGTAATGGTAGTGTGGGTGTGAAAATGATTATAATTGTTTGAACATTAAAGCTTGTCACGTACTACCTGAGTGCGGTCTATCAGAAGCTCACACGATTTGACATTGAATTTGGTGCGAGCATTTGAATATAGATAATCGTTTTTTGTTTTCTTAAACAATCTAAAATTTTTAATAGAAATCGACTTACTTGTATGAATCTTGTGACTATAACTAATTTCTTCTTTCTTTCTCCATTCCATTCATTTCTTTGCAGTATCACAAACAAATGTCCCCCACACAGTTGCAATCGGTATTCCATGTGGAGAGTGCGGATGCTGTGCCACATTACGAAGTCGTACAGCTGCTACATCACAGTTTCGATGATGGCGTGGCAGCAGCGGCGCCATTGCCTGAACACTATCGTCGGCGGAGACGACGTAGCATAAACAGCATTTCGTTGGACACAGATGTACGTGTACCACTCAAAGAGCCACATCATGTGAAAAAGGATTTGAGTAAAAACCCTTACTACAGCGAATTAAAAGCGGCAGCCAGTGCACCAGGTGCTGGTGGTGCGAATAGTTTAGAGCAAGCGACGCGTGGCAAATTTGCAGGCGATTTACGTGAGCTGAAGGAGCATAAGGTGTCATTGAATGCATTTGGTGAGAATTTGAATTTGACGCTGAAGCAGACAGATAGTCTCTTCAAGGGCGGTTCGCCGCACTCTTTACGCATGTGGACAGTGCGTGAGGAGGCGAATGCGACGCATGGACTGGATATGGAGGAGGTGTTCGATGAGGTGAGTGGATTTAATTTCGAATTATTATTATTAAGTAGGGTGTTTCATAAAAAAGAAAAATATTATAAAAGCTGTTAGTGAAATACTTAAATGCGTATTTAGACATCTCACAGTGAAGAACACTGGAAAATATATATACCACGAATACGAGACATTGACACGAATTCAGCTCTATTTAGCTTGCTAAAACTTTATTCAGCACAGAATTTCAAACTTACAAGCTTTAATAATACTTAAATATTACTAAGAACTGTTGCTAAAAGAAAATCTAAATTTCTAGGCATAAACAAAATTTTTATTTAGCGTTATTCAGCCAACTAAAACTGGATTCAGCAGATTATTTTCCTCTTAATTTAGTTTTACAAAAGGTGCAGCGCATCCGATTTTAAAATGTCGCAAAAGAGCAGAAAACTAAATTTTCCGCACTCTCATAGTTTGTAAAACAGTAAAATATATATTCATGTGCTAAGTTTCAGCTGTTTCCAAATATATTCGCTGTATACCCTTAACAAGCTTAATTATGCTGCCTATAATTTTATACTTTTTCAGAAAATGTTATTTTTGAACTCAGGAAAAATTGTTTAATAACATCAGAAAGCGCAGCAAAAATAGTAGGGAAAGCTCGGTCAAAAACGTAGCAAAAGTGTAAACGGAAAAATATTATAATTAAAAAAAAAATATTATATTCAGCAAGTGAGTTGGAATTCAGCGAAAAATAGAACAATGCTATTTAACCTATTCAGCTTTTAAACCAATTCCCATTTGCAAAAAAGCATGAGGAGCTCATTCAGCTTTTGAAACTTAATTCAGTAAAATAATTCATGTTAATACCAGAGGGTGCATAGATGGTTTGAGATTCTGATAATTTAATGCAGCAAGATAAAACAGATGCACTACAAAGGTTACTAAGCTACACGCTCATGTGTTTAGATTTTTTTCAGCGGTTTCGATATACATAAATATGTCAAATATTCAGCTCATTTCGAGTACGCTGAGTTGATAAAACAAACAATTCAGCATTACTTATAATCAAATTTTATATTTTCATACATTCATAATGAACATTTACTCAAGTAAATGCATTTCAGCGCAGGTTTAAGAGTAAATTTTAGGCGAAATTTAGATTTTGTAAGCCATTTATGTCTATTCATGTAAGTTTTAAGCAATTCAGCAGCTCTTTAGACAAGAACAAAGCAATTTTTAAGGCAATTGAGTACATTAGCCTCTTGCTTGGCTCGTTTGTAAGCAATTCAGCAGCATAGTTTTGAAATTAACTCATTATTTTTTTACCAAATACTTATGTATATGTGTGTATTTATAAACAAATTTTTTATTATCATATATTTAATCAATGAAAGTTATTCAGCGCAATCTTTATTTTATTTTTGTACATAAGCCTGTTATTCAGCTGGTTTCTAAGCAACTCAGCTGCCTAGTTTTGAAATGGATAATTTTTTTTTCTTAATTAAGAAAGTGTGGTATACAAAATATTTGCCGACACTATATAATTTTGCCAAATCATCTTCACTCTCATTTAACACCAATTTGTATTCTATGCCTCACTAATGTGCGTGCTTAAGTACTTAGCACCGAATGGGAATTCTATTCGATTTGATGCGTTTTCTATTATTACTTAATTTAATGCTCTGTTTTGTCAGACATGAGTGTCATAACTGGAAGTGCGGCTACGAGTATACATTATCTACATATTTATGTACATATATTTACTTATTTATTTAAGTACATTTTCAATAGCACTTTACTCAGTTAATCCCTGCCTGCCTTTCTTTTTTTATATCACTCGAAGCATTCCTTTATAAGTTTTTGTGTGTGGTCCCGAATATAAATACTTTCTTGTCTATCGCAATTTGGTTGCTGATACTTCATATCTGTGTATACTTTTTTGCAATTCGAAGTTAGGTAATTTATTATTTTGCGCAGCCGCAGAATTTTTATTAGTTTCTCTTTGTTATTTTTTCGACATTTTCTTGCGAATTATTCATTTCACTTTCAGTTTTTAAAAAACTTTTAATAATTTTTTTTGGCACTTTCGCCTTTATTTATGTATTACTGCATTTCACCTAACGAGCTGATCATTTTATTTACATATTCATTTTATTGAGTATTTATGCATTCACTTGCACCCTCAGGGTGTGAATTTATTGAGCTATAAATGCCATTTGTGTGCCTAAATGCTTCCGCTACGAATTGAAGTCGAATCGAATGCTTTCTTACTTAGGAGATCAGTACGATTATTTTTTTGAGGAGTATTAACAATAACAAGAAGAGGTACTTGATTTCGTAGAGCAAAAAATATTAAATTTTGGAAGGCTGTGGTTCAGTTTAGATACAAAATAAAAACAATGTTGTGTAGTTCAGATTCCTCATAGTTTTAAAGACTCTTTTTTTTTAAGAAACGGCATATGCAAATAACAATTTTTTAGGTTATTGAAAAAAGCGCAGGCTCTTTCAAATGCGTTCATTGCGTTGGAAAATTATTCAGCAGACTAATAAATAATAATTTTAATATTTCATGCAGTATGGCAGCATGTTCTCTAAGGCAGAAATATTATTCCGCACTGTTTTAGATTCAAAATAATCAAATTGAACATTTTAGTAGTAAGTGTTGCACTTTTTATATGAAATTCTTTAATTAAGCTTCTATTCAGCTTATTTGCAAGCAATTGTACAGCTTCCTAGAAGCAATTAAAGTGCTTTTTGAATTAGGTATGTAAATTTACTTTCTATTGTGAACAATTCAGCAATATTTCTTTCACGAATTAAGTACTTTTTGTGTCAATTGCAGGCAGCATTCTCTATAGTTGAGTTGTAAGTGATTCCGCAGCTTCTCGGATATGAAAAATTAATTTCTTATGTCAGCTGTCACATAATATTTCTATTCAGCTCGGTTGCAAGCAATTCAGCAGTATCTTATCTACGTAAAATACACTTTTTATATCAATTAAACACGTTAGCCTTCAATTCAGCGGAGTTGTAAGTAATTCAGCAGCTTCACAGTAACTTTTTTGGGACACTCCCTAATCAAATTATCTTTTATGCTCAACGTTATGCAAATGAATGCCTTTACAAAAATAACTGCAACGGAAATTTCAATTCCATTTTCTAGTTTTGTGATCGATTCAGCAGCATTTTAGTCACAAGTAAAGTGCTTTTTGTGTCAAACGTATGCAGTAGTCTCTATTCAGCAGAGTTTTAAGCGATTCAGCAGCTTTTCGGACATGAACAATTGACATAGGATTTCTATTCAGCCCATTTGTAAGCAATTCGGCAACTGTTTAGTTATGAACAGTACACTTTCTTGTACCTAATAAGCCCATTAGCCATCAATTCAGCTCAGTTGTAAGCACTTTATGAACTTTTTAGTACTAAAAAGGGCACATTTCAATGAAATTGGCTGATACGTTAAACTTTGTGAATATTGAATTTTTTGAAAATTAAAGTCTCTAAAAAATGCTGTCTTGTAGATACGCACCTATCCCTTACCCCGAAGGCTTAGTTGTTACGCCAACGCCAAATCCAATTCCATTTTCTTGTTTTCGCTTATGTTTTTTTTTTTGTTTACATTGCCGTTCCACGTTGCACTACAGCCTCTTATTATTTTGCTCTATTTCGATTGCAATTGCGTAATTCCCACCAATTGCACATACACACACACACACACAAAATCAATAAAAGAAATAAAAGTTTTAAAAACACTCGATTTTGCCGCAACAGCAGCAGCGGCTGTAACAAATTTTCATTGCGTCCCACTGTGAGCGTGCTTACATACACTCTAGCTCTGGCTCTAATCCCTGCAACATACTCGCTTGCCCACTCCCTGCCAGTGCTACTGCGCTTACTTTTACCCACTCCACCCTGCCTCAACACTAAATCCTCCTTTTGCCACACACACACACACACACCGCAGCACATTTGATTTCTAACTCCTCGCTCCTACTCCTCCCCCTCCACCTACTCGATTGCCGCTCAAAAAGCTATGTATGACCGGCAGTTGCAACACACAACGCTGTGCTTGCCTGCAATATTTGTTGTTGGTAAAAATGTTGATTTTTTCACCTTTTCTTTGCTGCTGCTGCTGCTGTTGCTCTAATTTCAAATGCGCATTCGAAATTGGTGTGCATAATGCAAATCGACGCCGTTTGAAATGTTCGACGAAATGTTGAAGCAAAAAATCAATATTAGGGGGAGGGCAACATCAATAGCCACAAACAAACAGTTCGTCGGTGCATACAAGCATACACATATACATAAATATTTACTTTAATTTTGAGTTTATTTGCGCTTAAGGGTCTATCGCGTGCGCTGCTTTATTTCAATCTATTTTTTTTAACTTCTACTTGTTTGTTTACCTGCAATTCGTTATTTTTAATTTTCGATTTTGCCTCATTACAACGGGCAATCGCATTAACATTAAGCCAAATAATGAGAGGAGAGAAGGTGGTTGGAGTGGGAAAAAGTTCGTTACTTAAGTCTTTCGTTTATAGCGTTACGATTTTATGTAATTGCCTGTTTTACTACGAATATTGTTTGAAAAAATAAAAAATAAAAAAAATATTGCAAAGCCAAATCAACTGTCTGGCAACAGGAAAAATAATTGGTAAATAAGCATAATATTATTTGAAATTTTTGAAGTGCGGTTTTTAATGCGGCTTTTTTATTTCTTATTGTTACTTTTACGATTACTTTTATTATAATTTATTTGCGGCAGTTTAACTGCACTTAAAAATTTTTTTCTGATTTTTTGCTGATTTTAAAGACTTGAATTGAAGTGCCGCTGTGCAGCAGGTGTGGGTGCTGCCGCCAATACTTCCTTGTTTGTTTTGCTGACGCTTTCGTTATTCATTTGTTTGCATCACCTGTCAAAAAAGGTGTTATTTGTTATGAAAAAAGGGGAGACTGCATGTTTTTAGTTAATAATAAAAGCTTAAACTTTTCAATTTCGTTATTTGGGGCATGAAATACAAATTAATTATTTTTTG